AGAAGAAACCCAGACCCGGATCCGGGGTCTTTGCATTCTTGCCAGGAAATGATTTTCAACTACTTTGTTTTAACACCTTCACCCCTGAATTCTTTGTAACCACAGCTCAACTCAGGAGCTAAAATACACCTATTCATGCCTTGGTAAACTCTACACGTGTTTACAATTTGGGATGGCTACGTGAAAACACACTTTCCTACTTATCTTCAAGTCAAGCAGCTGGGCCATCCTAATGGATTCTTCTCAACACTAGGCCATTAGGGCTCACGGCCTCGGGTTCCAGGCATGGTCAACTCCCCGGTGCTGTGTCTTAGATCTCCGTGGCCCAGACCCCTGAGGACTCTTGGTCAGTGGATGGTCAGTGGCCTGTCAACCCCCTGCCAAAGTAGAAACCAACGTAGGTCCTGACAGTCACAAAAGCAGGAGGAAGAAAATGTCATGTAAAGAACACACTCACATAAAGGGCTGCATCTGTACTAACATGAAGATGGTCTCCATCTTCCAACGCACTGCCAATTTGAGGTCCCCCATCCACTCAAAAAGAAGAGACTTAATCCCTAACTTTCTATGTTATAAATTTTCAGGCCTACCAAAAAGTTGCGAGAGCAGGACCATGACAATTGTACACTCCGTATTCAGATCCAACACCTCACCACATTTCCCTCCTCGATCCCTCCCTCCCTCCGTTTTTCTCCCTGTCTCCCACCCTCCCCCTTTGTCCATGTGTGGGTGTGCGTAAAACAATACACTATAAGCACAGACTTCTTTTTGCTGAACAATTTGAAAACTAGTTGGACATATTGTGATACTTCATCTCTAAATTCTCCAGCTTGCGCATCTGCCAACATCAAGAGCATTCCCCAATACACGCAACTATTTCTGACAAGATCGTTACTACACAAAGGAAATCCAATGAGAGAATACTATTATCTAGTATTTGATCCACATGCAGATGTCCCCATTGTCCCAATAATGTCTATTATAGCTGTTCGTTCTCAATCAGGGATCACACATGGCCTTTGGCTGTCAGGGCACCTTGTCTCCTTAGTCACCTTTGACCTGAAACCATATTCTAGGCTTTGAGGGTGGGGAGGTGTCTTCACTGACACTGACAGTGTTAAAGAGGGAAGGCCAGCTGTTTTAGGTATGTCCTTCGGTTTAGATTTGTCTGACTGTTTCCTCAGAAGTGGATTCAGGCGGACTATTTTGGCAGATGTTCTATCATGACGGTGCTGGGACCTCTTAGTGCGTCAATGGGACACCTGCCATCATTCGAACCCATGAAGGGTGTCGACAAGACTGATCACAGCAAATTGACTGCTTAAAACTACAATGTCTTAACATGGATACTAAGCCATTTGCACGCCTTCATTTTAAACTGTTAACAACAGTTGTTCAAACTCTTACTCCTTGATAGCATACTCAACCAGCTATCGTTTATCTAACATACTAACTCATCTGCTCCTAAACCCAGAAATGCTAACTCCATTCTATAACAAAAGATAATATGAACCTTAAATACTCAAGACTTCACCAAGAAGGTGGTTTTGCACTGGGTCTAGATAAATAAATAAGATTTTGTCAAGAAGAGCAGGGGGAGAGTATTACACTCCCAAGAAGTATCATGAGAAAGGCATCATGCCCGAGAGTAAATAACGTTTGAGGAATTGGGAGCTGACTATAATCAGCCAGGCAAGAGATGAGAAAGGTCTGCTTTAGGCCTTGTCTAGTGGCCAGAGAAATGTGAAGAAGTAGGCAGACTGGAGGAAGTTATCAAAATCTCTAAAAGCGAAACTGGGGCAACTGCCTGTCTATGCTACCTTTACTGATACAGGGAAATAGGAGGGGCAGGAGTGGTCACTGAAGTTTGAGTTCAACATGTTAAGTTTGAGATGCTGCTAGGACATTCAGATGGAGCTGTCCAACACAGAGAACAAGGGGTCTGCAGTTCAGGTGAGGGGTCATGATCTGGGTCGATGCTATGATGAGCTGAAGTCATGAAGAAGACAAGAAAATGGGTGTGGACAGGGAACAGTCAGTAGGTTTGGAGAGAGGAGCCTGGAAGAACATTCACGGAATGGGATACAAGGAGAAAGGTGGTAAGGTAAGTCTACTTCTTGTCAAGACCCCAACTAGCACACTGGTTTTTGGAAACTTTGATCTGAAAGTAATGGAAAGACAGGGAAAGACTTTGACCAGATTTGCAAATTCAGGACATTAGTAAATGACGGTAATTAACTATTCTTAGGTAAAGATTTTTTAGACTAAAGATAACTTCACTGTGTGTGTTTTAAACAACACTAAGCAATGAGCCCAACTGTTACACTATTTACCTGGAGGTAGTATCAGATTCCATGGGTTAGGGCTCAGTCCCACAGGACGGCCCTCACTGCAAATGGCAATTACAGGTCCAGGTTATCACCTGTACTTCTGACCAGCTGACTGTTAGTCAGAGGTTCGAGTGACCCTCTCCTTGGGTTTGATTAATTTGCTCCAGTGGCTGACAGTGAAACATGTACTTATGTTAACCAGTTTCTTATCAAGGATAGCATAAAAGATACAGATGAAGAGCCAGATTTAAAAAAGTATACAGAGCAATGTCTGTGGGAAAAAACATGGAGCTTCCATGCTTTCCAGGCACGCTACTCTCCCCAAATTTCCACAGCCTCAGCAGCCTGGAATCTCTCTGGCCCCATCCTTTTGGGGTTTTATGAAGACTTTATTATAATACATAAGCATGATTGATTAAATCATTGGTCAGCAGTGACTGAATTCAATCTCAGCCCCCTCTCCCCTTCCAGAGGTGGGGGATGGGGTGGGACGGAAAGTTCCAACCCTCTAATCACCTGGTTGGTTTCCCTGGCAACCAGCCTCCAGCCTTGGGGGAGGGGGACTTTCCAAAAGTCACCTCATTGACATTAACCCAGGTGTGGTTGAATGGGGCTTGCTCTGGATAGAAACGTACACCTTTAACCTTCACGTAACTGAAGCTATTTCAGGAACCAGTGACAAAAAAACAAATATTATTAGATGATGCTCCCATTGCTTCTGTTGCTTAGGAAATCCAAGGGTTTTAAGAGCTCTGTGCCAGAAGCAGACAAAGAGTAAATATATATTTCATATTATAAATCATAGCATCGCATTAACAGATGGGTAAGGAGAATATACAGAAGAAGGTCAGTGGGGAAATGGTAGCTGGAAAAGGGCAAGGAAAAGGGAAAACGATGAAAAGGACAAAGAAGAAAGAAAATTCAAGTGAAGAAGGAAAGAGGAGAAACAAAAGTGAAGGATATAAATGGAGGAAAGCAACCAAGGCCCCCCTGCAATCTTAAACTGCCCGCCTGCTCCAAAGTTGAGGCAATGTATAAAAAAGAACATTTGAGCTACAATAAGCAATGATATAAAGGTCAACACACATATACCAACCCTTAGTTTTACTAAAATTATTTATGATTCACATTTTAAAGTAAGGGTTCAAAATTCTTTTCTCTGTAGCTTCTGGTCTCAGAGCAGCTTGCTTCTTTCTGTTCCTGTGGATTTTACCAGACCCCTTTTCCTGCGTGTTTTGTTCCTATAACATTCACCCCCTGAGGGCTGGAGCTGCCACAGGCCTGGGGCCAAACAGAAGTTCATCTGTACCATTAAGACTATGGCCTTAACATTCGGAAGAGATGGATTTAATAAAAAGCTTTAAAATGATCTATTACATATTAATATATGCAACATATAATATACATCTATAGATGGGTTATTCATAGAATTTTCAAATTCATTCCTTCCAAGCCTATCTACCTAGTTATCTATTAACTTACTTGGTAACATGATGCTGACAAAGTTGGAAGGATTTTTAATGACTAATCATTAACCTACTACTAACCAGTATGGGAAATAGAATGCATTCACAGAAATAGTAATTCTTACAAGAAAAAACGATCCATTACATTCAACTTGCTAGAACCATGTACTTATTACCATGACCCTCACAGTTCCCAAACACAATTGGGTTTTTTTCAATGTCTATTTTCAATTAGTTATCATGATATGGCTATAAAACTTCTTAACAATCAGTAAGGTCACAGTAGGAGCCTGCCTAAATTCTTGACATTTTTCTCATTGTTTTCTGCAAAACTGCATGCAGAGGAGGCAGTCATAATAGAAACAGTCAGCGAGCCGTCACCAGGGCACACACACCCTCGGCTTTCTGTGCACACGACTTGCATGTGCAGGTGCTCATACACATGCAGGTGCCAAGTGCCTTCCAAAACTGAGGTGTGTCTGCCCTCCTGATCTTCCACCTTTTCCCCTTCTTTTACACAAAAGGCAACACCAATTAAATAATTAAAATTAGTTGCCAAGAATTATGAACATGTCAATGCATGAAAAAAAAATCCTGCTCCTGACCGTATGCAAACACGTGAGTTTCTCAGTTTTGGGTGTGGGTGGGTTCAGAGGGCAAGGGCTTTTGCTTCAGCAGCTCTCCAGATGACATTAGGGTCATCTTAGTGTCCCCTGTGTCTTTAGAAGAGTCAGTCCACAAATGTGGCATTTAAACACAAATAGACTTTTAAGATTAAAAACAGCAATTTATCACGAAAGTGCTGCTTGGTAATCATGAAATCCTCTTTCTCTCTACCTCTTTGCCCACCCCCACCCCATTCCAGGGGAATGCAGTGAACGCTGAAATGAGAAACCATAATTACGATCACATTCCTGCCCCAGGGTCAGCCTAATTATCCACCTCTCAACCCGAAACAAATTTACCCCTTTAAAAATAAAGGCCCTTATCACTCATGGGAAAAATACAAACAAAGATTAAGATGACATTTACTCATAACTGCAACCTTTCATTTTTAAGTGACCTCTTAGCTTAATGGCTTCAATGCATTCTCATTCAAGTGCAATATATATTGCAAGGGAGAATTATAATAAATGGCGCTGTCATGACCCTGAGGTTAGAGCAAAGGAATATTGGAAAATAAATCTCAATTCTGGATACTCACCAATCCTGCAATGGGGGTAGGCAATCTATTGATCTTTTTAACAAGTCCTGGCTTTATAGCATTCAGCAACCTGTCGTGGAAAAGGCAGAATGTCAAATGAGACATAAACCAAGATGGATCACACAAATCACCTTTATCCAGGGCTATATAGTTAAATTGCTGAATAAGAAAAGCAGTGAATTTAAAGCATGTGGTAAATCTCAATAATCTACGAGCCTTAGTGCATACAGGTGAAGAGCTTTGCCAACATCGAGTTTGTCCGTGACAGGTGAAGTGCTGGAATTTGGAAATGTTGGCAGGGGAAAGGTTGGAGACTGAGAGATGCTTCGGGGGAAAGGACAAACATGGGAAGGGGGGGGAGGCTGGGAGGGATTGTCTAGGATGGGAGCCAGGTATTACTACCTAGGCAGGGTGTGGCCCCAATTCTCCTGGCCGAGGCAGGGTCTTCCCTGGGATGCATGCACGAAGTTCAGAGACCCACATCTATCTTCCCAAATAATTTGCCAAGACTCACTACCTCCAGGCACTCTTGCTCTTTGAGGAGAGTAGCTTGTTAAGTGTGATCAAGCCTGCCTTAAGAAAGGGAAGAATACATTTAGCAAGAGGTTAACCAATCACGTCCTGAAGATTTTAAACAAAGCTGACCACAAATCCCTAGGTACAAAAGATGCATGAGAAAAATATCTTGGGGGTAAAAATGGTAACACAACAAAGGGGATGCAAGAGAAAAAAAGTATAATGACCTGTATTTTGCCATGTAAAATGCACACCCATGTTGTTGACCCAAATTTTCAGGAAAAAAAATCTCTTGTTTTAATTTTTTAATTTGATTTTTAATTTATTTAGATATTTGTTTTTTGTATTATAAGGGGATTTTAGCATTTGTGTTTGAACATATATGGTACAAGAAAGTTTATGTAATAAATAATTACAAAACACAAGAACAGACACAAGGTATTTCAAGTACTTCCTATGTGTGATGGCAAAAAATTTGCACAAAAAGTATGTATCACATATGGCAAAATATGGTCCTTGTCTTCAGAAAACACCAATTCAGAGTAAAAAGAAAGAAAAAAAAGCAACTTGTAAAACTAAAATAGGGTTGGCACCGGGCTGACACTGTGGAATGTAGCATTTGCAAGCGAGGTTATTCGTAAAGGGAAAACTGGAGGTCAGGAAGGGCTGCAGAACTAGAGCATTTATTCCCATGTTCAGGAATTCAAGGAGAGGCAGTCAGGTAACTTATCTCAGGCTGCAGTGTAAAGAGAAACTTGGGGCAGGAACTTCCTATGATCCAGGGGTCAGCAAGCTCTAATCCATGGGCCAAATTTGGCCCAATACCTGTTTTACTGGAAAACAGCTATGCCCGTTCACTTACATGGTGTCTATTGATGCATTTGCACAGGGCTGAGTAGTTACGACAGAGAACATATGGTCCAGGAAGCATGCAGTTTTTACTAGTGGGCCCTTTATAGAAGAAGTTTGCCAACCTCTATTACACAGGCAAACTTCGCAGATACTGCAGGTTCTATTACACAGGCAAACTTCGCAGATACTGCAGGTTCGGTTCCAGACCACCGCAATAAAGTGACCATTGCAATGAAATCAGTCCAAATCTTTTTGCTGGTGGAGGGTCTTGCCTTCAATTTATAACAAACTCAACATCAGTGAAGCACAGCAAAATGAAGCGCAATAAAACGAGGTGTGCCTATAAATCATGCAATCCGAGATTACAATCAATTGTGAAGAATCTGTCCTTAATAGATTTCTACAAATCTATAATAACAAAAGATTCTTTGAAATAGTTTGATGGTTAGTCTTGAATGCAGCCTATATTTCACTTTGACACCACTATGCATTGCTATATTAAGAAACGTCCCTACAGTAGTTATGACCGACAGGGTGTTCTGTGTTTTCACCAAGGACTTTGCATTTTCCTGGTAACTTTCACTGCTATTCCAACGTGCTGCCACCAACGGATGACACTGGAGAGGACACATGCCTGCCTGCCCACCAAGATGGAGTGCTTTTCATGAACGCACTGAGTTTTAACCATGAACTTAGTCTTTTTTGAAAAGTGTTTGTTTATAACTCTATTTGAAATTATTATACCTTGTTTATAACTTAAGTTGGAAGGCAACTTGTACGTGCTTTGCCCTTCACAGTTTAGGAAACTGAGGGCTGAGAAAGCGGATGCCCAATGATGAAGAATGAGGAACTGGCCCAGAGCGGGCGAGTGGCCCCGCCGGCCCCGCACCCAGGCTTGCGGAGTCTGCACGCATGCGCCCTAACACAGGGTTCCCGTCCCACGTCTCGCGGCTTCAGATACACAGATAGAGATGATGTCTCCAAAGCAGTTTTAAATGTACAGAATTGTAAAGATACATGACTCTTCTCACTAGTTCTTAACAATGTCATGTTAAACTGGATTTTAAAATACTATTTGTGCACAGCGTTGGTCATTCAAAAGAAATCAAAAGGATATTCGGTAAACCGCAAGTCTTGCTGTCACCCCGGTCCCACAAGGCCCCAGAAGGAAACCTTAAAGACCTTCCAAGGAAAATGTATAATGATACATATTTTTTTTTAAAAAAAAGACAGATGTATCATGTATTATACACTGTCCTACACCTTGTCTTTCTCCCTAATGATACGTCTTGGAAGCTGAACAATTTGCCTTGAAGAGTGTACCTTATGGATCCATGTGGGCCTGTGTCCTTTCCAGCGGCTGTGCCTGCAGACAGACAGGGCTGGTGGGAGGGCGAGGGCACTGGCTGGGAGTCCAGCCAACCGAAGCCAACACCCGGCTGGCCCTCACTGGGCTTGTTACTTCAGGCAGGTCCACTAGTCTCAGTGTTCTCATCCGTAATATGGAAAGGTAATGGCACCAATTGCATGGGTGTCGCCGAGACTTCAATGTGACAAAACATGCAAGAAGCTAGCATACAGCCTGGTGCACACTAAGTTCTCTAGATAAATGTTTCTCTACATTTGTGTGTGCTTATAGTAATTCAATTCACAGCATTTCAGATCAACCACTTTCTCTAATATTTGAGACATTTCTAGTGAAACAATAAAATACTACTGTCACCAGATATTCCCAAGCTTTTTGCTAATTAACCAAAGCAGGGAAAATAACAAACACCCTTCCCCCCCCAAAAAATTGGAAGTTAGAAATCACCTTTTAAAGAGGCACTCTTTTTTATCATCTATATCTGAAACTTGTATTAAAAATTTTAGTATCGTGGCTCCACCAAGTCCTCTTTTATACATGTTTTTATTTTAAGCAGTCTTAAATACCCCACTATATTCATCATTTGTACACTCATACTTGTATGGAAGAAATCTTTCCTGTCACATGAAGTTGTAAAAAAAAGCCAACTATAATGCTAGAGTATAATTAAAAGAGCAAGAAAAATCTATGATATCTATCAACATTTTTAACCACATATTAAAAAAATAAAAAGCCGAAGTGCTCTTAAACATTTGGAATACTTTCAAGACCAAGACAGGTGTGTGTTTTCATACAAACACTGCCCCAGTCTCATGCAGAGTTTACAAAACACAACAATAAAAGATAACATTGAATTCACATTGCAGAAATGCCCAACACCTGCTTTTCTTGTGTTCTGCATTAGACTGAGGGCATTTTTTTATATAATAGGAGTCAAGTGAGAAAGTTTCACAGAACAGCTACAAGTAAGAGTCAAGGCCACTCACTTGCAATTTTACTAAAAAACACTATTGCCTTCCTGTGCAAATTAAAATATGAGTATTTTCAATAAATACTTAATGATGACATGCTTTAAAGCAATGACATTTGATGTTTGCAACCCTTCTGAGACACACTGTCCTTCAACTGCCTTGTCCATACAGACAGGCCGTGCATCCTCTCCACCCCTTCTGCAGAAGAAGAGACTGGGCCCTGACCGGATGCGAGGGCTCCCCCAGAGACGTGCCCAGCTAGTTTGCAGAGACAGTCTTCATGTCTTAGGCCAGTCATTTTAATCTGTAACTTGGTTCTTGAGAAAATGCAGCTTTAGTGTGTAAGCAAAACATAAATCAATACACACACACCCCCCCCAAACAAAAACTGTCTAAATATAATGGGATAATATCCACAGCAGATGGGAATGAAAAGAAAATGGAAGAGGATGTCTGCTGGCAGATGGGTAAGTATAAGACTCATCAGATCTGAATTTGCTCTATGGGTGATCTCCCACCTCATCGTCAGGGACTGCAGAGAATGCAAGGTGGCCATTCATCCCCACTGAGCAGAACCCCACACCAATGTCCCACCTGGTCTGTGCTCCCCAAAACCTGTAGCTAGAAGGCCTGACCGAGTAATTTGCTCTCTCTGTCTGTTAACAGATTATCTTTGTTCTCATCTAATGACATTTCTGGGAGACCGGCATAATTCTATGCAACAAAAAAATTAAACATCTGTAGTCATTCACATTGTATTCACATGTCATTTGCATGAACTATACTCACAACTACAAACAAAAATAAAGATAATTAAAAATACCGATGTGAGGCCTGATTAGGATGAAATATTTTGTGATATTTTATTTACCCAGCAGTTATTTATCAAGGCCTGCTGTGTGCTGCGCACAGTTCTAGGCCCAGGGGAGGCAGCAGCGAGCAAGACAAGCCCAGGTCCTGCTCTTCCGAATGTATCATCTTGGTCAACTTATCGACTTATCACGTGATGTCTACTTAAAGGTGCAGCAGTGGGAGGGACAGAAAATAAACAGGCAGATAAAAGAGAAGAAAATTTCAGGTCACATAAGCACTGGGAAGACAAGCACCGTAAAGGTCAGGCAGGTGGCACTTCAGTCGGGTGGTCAGAAGGCTGCTCTGGGAGGTAACATTTGAGAAAAAAATGGAATGACTATGAAGGTACTGGCCAAGGAGAGATTAAAGACAAGAGTCTCTGGTGGACTGGACAGTTAGCAGAAAGGCCTGAAGGAAGGAGTGGGCTCGGTACATTCAAACGCCAATGTAGCCAAGCAGAGAGAGTGAAAGGGGGAGACATATCACATGAGAGCCAGGGTGTAAGCGATATCC